AAAATGTAAATTTTCAAAATTTAGCACAAGGTTAGTTTCAATGCACCTATGTAACATCTTAGGCAAACTCTATAAACATAAATCAAATGAAGATTAAAGTTTAAGCTCTAAGGATAAAGGTTGGAAATGGAGGCTCTTCTACTGATTGAACATCCACTGTTGCAACTACATCTGCTAGTGAAACATATGATATTATGGCATCTTTTTTACCTGCAATAACAATACTAATCTTTGCACATATAGCACACATAATAGAATCATCACAAGTACAATCAGAGTCAACAATGATAAACTTAATTACAATGTCAAAAATGTCAATTTCATGTTCAGGTACAAGGTCAACAATCTCACACATAGATGAATTAATACCAAATGAATCAATATTATACAACTAAGATCAAGAATGTCAATCCTCAAGGCAGACATAGATGGATGTGTTAACCGTAGTTGGTTGACATTAGTAGTTAACTGATCAATTTATGTTTGCAAATCTTGAGTTGCAATATTTCACTCTTGTTGAAACTTGTTATTGCATTCATCCATCTATTTCATCATTTCCTCTAATGTAACAACACTATTTTATATAGGTAGTGGCTAAACATAATCTTCAATAAGACCCTAATGATGACCTATCCACTCGGAACTATACTTCTCAAAATATGAATCATGATAATATTGTTGTGGAGGTTCATATTGTTGACTAAAGTATGGATCAAAATATTGTTGTTGTGGAAGATCATAATAAATATATATATATATATATTCTTTTTGGTGTCTTTTCGAAAACCTTATGATAATAAAATCTTTTAAACTTACTTTTGTATTGTTTCCCATCTCCAGGCCATCAACAAAACCTGTCCCATTTGTGGGTCATTCCTTGATCATTCACAAAAATACAAAAAGGAGGAAACAAATTTTATATACTGTAGCAAACCTGCTGCTATGGCCACAACATTTTTCAAAGTTCCACATAGTTCAACCCCTTCAACATCTTGAACCTATTTATTACATAGAATAACAAATTTAGAAGGTCAAATATTATCTCAGTTTTTTGCAAATTTAAAAGGTTTAGTTACGTTGCAAAATACCATGTCTAAGTATAAAAATTTACACCATATCTTATACATTCAACAACTTTTTATATAACACAAATTTAATCAATTCAATCGTTGAATTATGTAATACTATATGTACATAATAAATTTAAAATTTTCTATTTAAAAATATCCTTTATAAACTTATTTTAAGCTATAATAAAATATCAAGTATATGAATTTATATGTTTACATATTGTTTTATGTGAAGAGAGATAAAATGTTTCAATATTATGTAGTAATTCATTTTTGCTTCAATTTTTTTTGTGCATACTTTTTGCTTTATGTATAGAAAAGGGATTCACTTATTCTCAGAGTAAGTTTTAATAGACTTATTATGCTTAATAACTCATATTTTATAGTAACTTTTAATGATCCAATTATTTAATTAAAAGTTCTTAAACATATAAGTGAGGTCTACAATTTTTAAAAATTTGAAAATCATATCATACTTCATTATATATTTCAAATAAACATATAAGTTACTTTTATAATTATTTGTCAATTTGAACTTATGAAACATTGTAGTAAATAATTTTCAATTTTTTCACAATTTATAAACTTAATCTATGTATTAAAAACTTTTAATTTAATACTTGGATACTTAGATCATTAAAATTTGATATAAAATATGAGTTATTGAATGCAATATTCTATCAAGATCTACTCTTGGAGTAAGCGAACCTCATGTGTGTGTATATATATATATATACACACACACATGGAGAGAGAAAAGATTCATTGATATCATGTGTAAATATAAAAAAGTTACACCAAATCTTATACATTTAACAACTTTATGTATAATGCAAATTTAACCAATCCAACCGTTTAATTATATAAAATTATATGCACTTAATAAGTTTTAAATTTTTCTGTTTAAAAATATCTTTTATAAACTTATTTTTAAACTATAATAAAATATCAAATATATGAATTTATATGTTTAGATATTAAGATTTATATGAAGAGAGATAAAATGTTTAGGTATTAAATACATAATAATTAACTTTTGCTTCAAATTTTTTGTGTGCTTTATATATAGGGGAGGGACTCACTTACTTTAAAAGTAAATTTTGATAAACTTATTCTATTCAATAACTCATGTGTTACATTAAATTTTAATGATTCAATCGTTAAATTGAAATTTCTTAACGTATAGGTGAGGTTCACAAAGTTTTTAAAAATTTGAAAATTATGTAATACTTCATTATATAAATTTAAAATAAATTTATAAAATATTTTTATGATTATTCGTCAATTTGAATTAATAAAATAATGTATCAAATAATTTTCAATTTTCTTAAAAGTTTGTAGATTTAATCTATGCATTAGAAACTTTTAATTTAATAATTAAATCATTAAAATTTGATATAAAATATTAATTATTAAATAAAATAAGTCTACTGACTCTTAAAGTAAGTAGACCCCCCACATATACTAGTACAAACCTCCTCTTACACACACATACACAAAGATATGATTCGTTGACATCATGCGTAAGTATAAAAACTTACACCAAATCTTATACCTTGAATAATTTTTTGTATAATACAAATTTAACCTCAAGATCATGTATATATCAATATTCACATTATTCCAATATTATTCATTATTTCATCATTTTATTTTATTTTAACATATAAAATAACATTTAAAATATGTGTAAATATCAAGTTTTGTATAACATAATAAAAAAATTTAAATCATGTGAAATTTGATACATACACACACACACACACACACACACACACACACACACACACAGATGGTATACGTTAATTTTGAATGATCTAATTGTTACATTAGAAATTTTTAATGTATAAACTAAATTTACAAATTTTTTTAAAATTAAAAATCATATGATATTTTATTATATAAATTCAAATCAATATATAAAATATTTTTATGATTATCTATTAATTTAAAATAATGAAACAAAATATCAAATTATATAAATAGATATTTTTAAATACATATATATAATAATATTTATGATAAATAATGTATATTGGAATAAAATATTATTTTTATTTATTTATAATTTATTATAAAATAGTGTAATTTAATTAAAAATAATTATGATAAATAAATATCAAATTATGTAAGAAGTTAAAAAAATTCTAAAACTTTTCTTGTCAAAAAAAAAATCTTTAAAAAACACTCACGAATAAGAAAGATGTTCATATTTAATATATAAAATATAAAATTGGCATATATTTTAAATAAATGCAATAAATTATAAAATAATTTTCAAATCTTATAAAAATTTGTAAATCTCTATATATAATGTCATGAAAATTTATTTCTTTAATGAACATTTATGAAATCTAATAATACTACTGTTGATATGCATGTCTTTTAATTAATTTGTTACAAATAATAATTATGATCGAATATCAATATAAATTTAGATGAAAATGTACAACTTCATAAAAAAAATATTAATAAAAAATCTATGTTGAAGGTGAAATTTAGTGGCTGCCTTCTCGATGGGTAAAAAAAATAATAAAACAAGCAAAATGTATGATTTTAGGGAAATTTTGTGACAGAATAAAGGTGAGATATTTAAAGAAACAATTTTAAAAATATATATTTTGTTAATATTATAAAGATGACAATTAAAATAAAATATTTTTATTAAAAGTCAATAAAATAAGGTAAAGAGAGTATTTTTCTGAGAGTGACGATAATATTAGTATGAAATATCTATCAGTTTTATTAATGATTAATCTTTAACGAAGAATTTAAATGATTATTTTTAGAGATCTCTTTTCTATTTTTTTTCTTCATAAAATAGTGTTTGTTTTAGTCTATGAACATGATCAACATAATGTTTCAAAATTGATAATTAAAAATTAATTTATATTTATAAAATATACCTTTCATTGACCAAATATTATTTTAATATAGAAAGAAATCGAACTTAGAAATACTAAATCGATCGTATTTGAAATAAAACATCTATAATATATAATATATATAAAGACAATAACCTAATTTAAGGTACACATATTTTAAATAATTTTATCTTTAACATTTTAAATAATAAAAGATAATATTAAAAATTAATTACTCTTATAAATATCTAAGTGTAATATCAATTAATTTAACAAATGTTAATAATTTTTAAACATTTTTATTATATAAAATATTAAAATAAAAAATATTTCAATTTAATTAATATAAATAAAAAAATATGTTAAGAAGAAAATATTTTCTTTATATACTCATCATTACTTCTGATTATGAATATTTCATAATAATACCTAGATTAAAAAAAAAGTGTTTAATGTATGTTTGTAAAACTATATTTTACTTTGTTCCGGTGGATGGAAGAACCCTGCCCAGTGAATTGGTTTTGGAAAATGTGGTAGAGGTACGACCCCTGTTGTCAACGGACTTGACCGCCCATACGCACAAATTCAACGCAGACAAAATTAACGTATTTATTAATGTGTAAACTTTGAACCTCAGTGGGACCCACCACTCACATGAATTTTCTTGTCTCATCGTCCTCGTTCACACGCCAAACACACTTCCCTTCCTCCCATTTCCCTCTAACCCCCCCCAACTTTCCTCAAATTTTAACTTTTGAATGCAAAACCAACCCACTTGGCGTAGTAACCGTCACTTCCATACCCTTTTCCACGAACCTTCCTATCTTCTTCCTTCCAAAGGTTCTCTTTTTCTTCTCTCTTTCTCTCTTCATTTTCCATGGTAAACTAGAGTTTTTCATGTTCCTCCTTTCTCCGCTTTTTTCTTTCCTTTTCAGTTTGACTTTTTTTTTGCTTCTTCACTGCTCCGTATACTAAACAAGTTCATTAGGGTAATAGAGTTAGACTAGTATGCAAGTGATCTCAAGTTCTTTTACATGTAAAAAAAATGCTCCTGATTTTGTTTCATTGCTTATGTGTCATTACTTTTTTTTTTTTTCTACTTTACCACTGTTTGGTTGGAATCTGGGAGTTTAATCAATATTTTAGTTAATTTAATTTCAATGAGTTTTGTTTTAAAAGGGCTTAATAAACAATAACAAAAGATTGGGTATTTGGATTTTAGTGGATTAATAGAATCTATCTGTTTTTGACTATACATATGGGGCACTCTCCAGAACTATATTTTTGGGTATCCCATTTTATATGTTTTAATGTTACAATGTTGAATTAATTTCACCGGTTTGTGTTTTTGGTATTGTTATGGTGGGGTTTCAGGTTTGTGCTTTGCTTGAGCAATGGAGTATCTGAAATTCAACGTCTCTTTTTTATTTCAGGATAAGGGAGTTGGTGCATGAAGGAGTTACTCTCTGAGATTTACGAGTCTGCTTTTTCTGCATTGTTTTTTGAAGTTGGCTGCAATGATGAGTACTACACAGCAAGAGAAGTTTGTTAGGTTGGTTTGATGATACGTGTCTTATTTACTTTCTCGGTGATTTTATGTTGCTGTCCATGGAAATTTTAGAAGCATTCTATTTTTTACTCTCAGCAAGTTTTTCATGCTTGCCGTTGAGGCTAAGAGCCAATATTTTAGTTACCACTTCTTTAAATCCAAGTGTTTCGTAATTTCCAAATTGTTACGTGTTAACCTTTTATTTATAAAGTTTTATTCCTTAATCAGTATTACTTGCGGAACCATTAGATAAGTTTAATATTTATATGATGTTCAGGTTTCAGGATTCGAATTCAGAGAAGGGTTCTGAGAGCAGTTATCCTGCAATTAAGATAACAACACAATCAGGGAGATTTAGAACTACAATGAGTTCAGTTTCTGAGAAGTTTCAACATGGATTAGAATCTGGTTCTGAGAGGATAAAGAGATTCAGAACATCATTCAAATCTTTTCCTTATAGTGGAGTTCTTTCTAGAAGCTTTAGTTCTAGAAAGAAAATCCTTGATCCACAGGGTCCGTTCCTTCAAAAGTGGAACAAGATTTTTGTATTATTATGTGTTATTGCAGTATCGCTGGATCCCTTGTTCTTTTATGTCCCGGTTATTGATGATGAGAAGAAATGTCTTTCACTGGACAGCAACATGGAGATTACAGCCACTGTTTTAAGATCTTTCTCAGATGCTTTTTATATTATCCACATGATTTTCCAATTTCATACTGGATTCATTGCTCCCTCTTCTCGTGTTTTTGGAAGAGGCGTTTTGGTTGAAGATTCTTGGGCAATTGCACAAAGGTATCTGTCGTCATATTTCTTAGTTGACATTCTTGCTGTTCTGCCCCTCCCACAGGTATGGATACTTTCATCTTGTGTATGTTCCTCTAATTGGTGTAGATTCAATTTTACTCATGGGATTTATTTGTAATCTTATTGACTCGAGGCTCGCTATGATATTGCTAGGTGGTGATTCTAGTTATCATTCCAAAGATGAGTGGCTTTAAATCACTTAATACAAAGAACCTGCTGAAATTTGTTGTTTTCTTCCAATATGTGCCTCGTCTATTGCGAATAATTCCATTATATAAGGAAGTTACACGGACCTCTGGTATTCTTACTGAAACTGCTTGGGCTGGAGCTGCATTTAATCTCTTTCTTTACATGCTTGCAAGTCATGTAAGTTTACACTATATACTTACTTTATATATTTATAGAAAATTATAGAAAATATTTTTCATAGTACTGCTTTTATTATTATAGGTATTTGTTTTTGTTATTTACTTTCTATTTCTGGGTTTACTAGTTCTTTTTTCTTTTTTTTCCTTCCAATCCATTATTGAAAATTATTACTTTGCAGCGTGATGGTGGCAGTTATATTCTTTCCATAACAATTTCGTTTTGTCTGATCCGTTATTAAAAGTTTTGGTAGTCCCAGATATATGTGCTCTTATGGTGGCTGTTCCACTTGTCACTTCTGTATACTATTACTATGCTAGTTTCATAACAGCGATGTAGAATATTATATGCAGATATTTGAAGATTGGAGAAGATAAGTCTAGGCTACGTTCTTATAGGAACAATCAGAAATGAAAATTGCAGAATAGAGTTTCAAAAGTGTCCTATACTTGGGAACAACCATTTCCATTCAATACCTTTATATACATTTCTTCCTATCTCACCAAACCTTCCCTCTCTTACATTTATTTCACTCTTTTCTATCAGAATCCTCTGTTGCCTGCTGCCTCATGTCTAGGTAATTACAAGATTTCTAACCTCTTCTGCTCCAGTGAATAATTCATGTTAACCCTACTACTCCAGAGTCCAGAGGCAGGGGCAATCCAATGTTTTATTTGATTTCCATTCCCTTGGGGTCGGAGAGGTGGGTATGTTGCTTTTCCATGGGAAAATTGGATGTTATCTTTTAATGTGGGTAGTAACTTCCCTTCCCTCTCACCCCACTCTT